TTTTTATTAAAGACGACACACGCTTTGTGGTTCGTGTCGCGCTCCAGCTCTGTTAAGCGTTGGGAAAACTATGAGGCACAAATGATGAATAAAAGATCGTTTCCTTGATATAAAACGGCATTGGTAAGAATATTATTGGTTAGAAAGCTCTGACCTCATTATTGCCTCTCATAACCCTCTTGTCAGTGCTTTTATCAGCAGCATCACGACTCAACCATGTGGCTGTTTGTGTTTTTGTTTTTCTAACCACGATGGCTCTAAATTCTCAGGGTGGACAAACATTCTCATCCACCACGAGTGTTTCTTCACGCTCTTTAAAACACGAAAGAGGAAAAAATAATTTTTGGTCACATTTCAGGACCAAAGAGAACCCGAGTTTTCAGGTTAGCGTCATTTATTAAGGAATGAAAAAATATCCATTCCACTCTGGTAAAAATTAACAACACAGTTGTTGTAGTAAAGTGTTTTCCTAACTGCTGATGAGTCTCTCGCATCAGTCTGGAGGAATTGTGTCCCACTTATTATAAAAGAACAATCTGAATTCAGCCACAATGGAGGTTTTCCAGCAGGGACCCTAACCCTGTTTCAGGTCAAAGGTCAGACATTCTCAATCCAGATGTTCTGCTATAGAGAGGGATTTAAAACTAAAGAATAGAAACGTGTCTTCAGCCTGGATTTAAAAACAATCAAAGGCAGATTTATTTAAAAACGACGTGTTGCTTTATGACATCGATTAGCTTCCTCCGTGTTGTCAGAAAGGCGCTACGGAAGTGTTTCTCTTTTTGCCGGGCTGATTGGTTTAAAGGTGCAATATGTAAGAAACAATGCCTCAGTCATGTAGGAAACAGGTTTGATTCTCAGCCGGCCAGGGGGTTGCAAGTTTATCTCCTTTGAAAATGGCCAAAGAGGGACTGTGTTTACGATCTGCGCGCTCGCAGGGTTGCCAAATCTGCACTGGCATTTTTAATTCAACAAAATTGTTGTTAAAAGTATGTTAGCCGGTGAAAAGAGAGACCCAGAAGTTCTTTCGTGTACCCTTAAGAAGCCAAAGCGGTAAAGAAGGTTAGAAGCTAACATTGAGCTAATGGGGACATTGTCTAGCCTGGCACGCCAGACTAAATAAATGTATTATTTAGTCTGGCCACGCTCCATTGACGGCTCTCGGTTGTGGGGCGGGTTCTACCGTTGTCTTTCAAATGATCTCCGCATGCTACTGGACAATGAATGTGACGTACTCTTGTTTCACTCTGTTGCATCATCCCACCCACCAGGCATATAGAGTGCCCTGATTGGCCCACAAAGCGGATAAAGCTCTGTGATTTGTTCACTAAGCAGATAGAGCACTATGATTGGCCCACCATTATGGACCAATCACAGCTCTTTATGTGTTTGAAACCCCTCTAGAGAGCTGTGATTGGCTAGTCAGAGTCCTGGTAGGAGCTGCTGAGGTTCCAATGGAGCGTGCCTAGACCAAACTTTGCAAAGCAAGAATTTGGTCTAGTTCACTAGGCTAGACGTTGTCAGCTAATAGTCAGCTTTAAAACTATCTCAAGCTACTTTTTCAATTACCACCAGCTGGATATTATAGTGAAATGTATCTGTAGCGAATAATGAGCCAATCGTGGCCTTTTACTTTCTTTAACGAGTCGTTCAGAACAATGGCAGCAAGCTAACAGCAAGAAGGCAAACAACTACACTTCCTGTAATGCTGTAATGTTATTATCGTAATAAGGGTAGTAAGTGCTCCCCGCCAAATACCACCCAGGAGCACCAACACCAGATATGAAAATGTATTTATCAGCTTATTGTTTGACTCGTCTTCTTGTCTGGTGCTGATCTGTAACTGGAAACAACTGTTCAGAGCAGATACATAGACTGCAGTACCCACATTTCACCACAAGATGCCCTTCTTACATAATGCACCTTTAAATTCCTTTTTCCTCTTTAGGAAAATAAAGCAGAATTCCTTGTTTATTCGTGTTTTATTTAGTCTAGTACTAAAATCAGTTTTCTGATCCAAAACACTGAAGTGAGAGAGCAAGATGTATTTATCACTTCCCACAAAATAAGTGGATTACTTTTCAGAGATGAATTTTTAATCTTCATTAATCTTTAATCTAAACATTTTCCTCTATTTCATCCTCCTCAGAGCTTTTATTTAGTTGATATCAACATAGATTTGTTGTGACACTTGTTTACACATCTTTTGCTGTTCTTAGCGTCGCTAAAAGCTTTACCCGTTCTGTCGATGCACATTAACGCCTCCTGCAGCCATGTGGGTGTGTGACTAAAACACATGTAACCGTGCAACACTTAAAATGTCACCTTGTGGTGCTTGAATGTGATAAAAAATCAAAACTCTGAACAGGAAACGTTTATTTTACATATGTTTGCTGTCTCTGACTCCACAGACGTGTGTTTGGTAACGGAGCCACGTCTTCACTTTGCACCTCGAGAACATTTCAGTTTTTGGGTTTTCTTTATTCAGCTAAAGTAGCTAAAATAGCCTATTTGTGTACTGATGCTGCTTTTATGAAATAAGACCTTTCTGCTTTAGAGACAAATAAAAAGCTTGTTTTTCCCTTAGAAGTGAAAGAATACAGAACCTGTGTGTGTGTGTGTGTGTGTGTGTGTGTGTGTGTGTGTGTGTGTGTGTGTGTGTGTGTGTGTGTGTGTGTGTGTGTGTGTGTGTGTGTGTGTGTGTGTGTGTGAACGTGAACACAGGCAGATCCCGTGTACCAGATTACAGGGGCTAATCTGGTCAAAGCAGAGCGCTGGATGAAGCATTTATGAGTCCCTTTAGTTTGATTACTCTGAAACAGCTCAGTTTACAGGCTTAGTCCTGATTTCCCTCCGACCTTCCCGGCTCTGCAGGAAAACCGTTAGAGCTGGATGAGGGTCGGAGAAACTGGGAAACCATCTGGTTTGTTTTTGCACAGCCAAACTTTAACAAACAGGCTTCAGATAGCTTCATTCTTTCATGTTTGGTTCTGGTTTTAGCGGCTAACTTCCAAACCAGCACCAACAAACACCGCTGTGTTACTGGGTGCAACTGTTTTAAACGACTCAGTGTTCAGGTATTCATTTGTCTCGTATTTCTTTTGATATTTTACGCTGCTGCAAACTAATTACTTTAGCTTCTCTCCTCCTTGACCCGCCACCTACCGCGGTGGAGGAGTTCGAGTGCCCTGCTGGGACCGGGATCCCACGGATGCAGATCCTGCCCACAGATGCAGATCCTGCCCACGGATGCAGATCCTGCCCACAGATGCAGATCCTGCCCACGGATGCAGATCCTGCTGTAGCAGGCGGATAAAAATAGACGGCGAGTCCCAGGGTCGTCGGTCAGATGGGGAGTCTAAAACTGAAGAAAAGAACGGATCATGCGATAAACAGAGATGGTGTTATTACGTAATCAGACGCACATTTCGTCCAGTTCATCTTTTGGTTTTATTAATGAGTCAGCGGGCGATCCGAGGCCAAAGTGGGTTGCTGCTCCAGGATTTGTGGGCCATGTGACATCATCTTATTGACAGCGAGAACGTCTTCATGTTTCAGCTGAAATGCTGACGTTGGTGTAAAACCTAATTAACGTTGTGTGGATTACTGTGAGGGAATAAAGATGTTTTAAGAAAAAAGCTGTCATATCTCCCAGACTAGCTGTTAGCTCGTCAGTCCCAAAGCTGTTTCTATGAACTGAGGCCGTTCAGGATGCCTTCTGCCCTCTGGGGGATAATCTAAAAACTGCTGATAAACTTTTTTTATAGTCAGCAAATATTTAAGTTTTTTTAAATTTATTTATTTTATTTAACCAGACCAGTCGATTAAGAAGTCGGTCTCGTTTACGACGACGATCTGGCCAAGAGGTAGCCGCAAGAGATGGTTAGCTTTATACCAACGACGTAAATACAAACGACTGTTCTCATTTATACGTACAATCAAACCGCATTTAAGCACTCAGACGGAGGCACTGATGTTAAAATAAGTTTTCTGGTTTTATTTGATGCGTTGTTCATTAAAGGTTTAGGAATTCTACTTAAACAGCATTTTTTAAACGTTTATCAGCACGTGTCCAGGGTTAGACCCTGACAGAACATCCATCCATCTTCTATACCCGCTTATCCGCAGGGGGCTGGTGCCTGCCTCCGGGCAAACAGGCGGGGTACACCCTGGACAGGTCGCCAGTCCACACACACACACACACACACACACACACACACACACACACACACACCCCTATAAGGACAAATTAGAGACCAGTCAAGCTGACACTCATTGTTTTGGACTTGGGGAGAACCCAGAGAGAACCCATGCATGCACAGGGAGAACATGCAATCTCCTTGCAGAAAGACCCCAGGCTAGGATTCGAACCCGGGACCTTCTTGCTACAGGGCAACAGCGCTAGCCACTGCACCACTGTGCAGCCTCAGAAAGAACAAAACCATCTTATTATAAATAATCCTGCAATCTGAGATTAAAACCTCTGACGGGTTTCCCTGAACAGAAAACAAAGCTCTGCAGTTTCCTGTAAAGCAGCACAATAGTTGACATTATTTCTGTAGAGCTGGTTGCTGTAAAGCAGGTGCGTGAAGGTTTCCACGATGATCATAAAGTTGAGTCAGTGCCTCTAAAACAACAGGGCGGGGGTGTTTGCATGGCTGCAGGAAGCTGAGCCAATCAAAACTAGAAATCAGGATTTGTTTCCGGAGGTTTATCGGTCCTGATGAGTTCATGAAGATAAAAGAAATAATTACAATTTTAAATTTACCCTTCAGACGGGATGATGTGTGTGTTAAACAGAAAACGTGTCGGCAGCTGTTGTTCAGGGATTAATTAGATGTAGAGAAATAAAAACATCCAGTTTATTATTCAGCCCCACCGTCTTCCGCGTGCGTGCGTGTGTGTGTGTGTGTGCGTGCGTGCGTGCGTGCGTGTGTGTGTGTGTCGGGGACTTGTGAATGGCAGCCAATGGGAGGGTTGGGTCCCCTCAGCCTCCCTGACATCCGCCGCTGAAGTGATGCAGCGCGGCTGAGACGCGCAGTCGGGGCGGAACAACGGCCAACAAGAGCCGCAGCGAGCGGATACACTCAGGGCTCCGGCTCCGTCGCTCCTGCACCAGCCTGGAAAACCTTTTAACGTTTCTTCTGCTCTCCCAGAATAAACTTCGTCTACCAGGTAAGCGCGGATTTCTCCCCAACTCCCTGAAAACGGTGAGAAAATGCGCTCCTGTTTTTGGCACAGCGAGCGCGGTCAGTTTCTAGCTGCGTCTGGATGCGTCCGAGCTCTTCCACCGCGGTGTTCGTCCCTGATCCTGGCGCGTTTATCAGTCCGAGGGAAGCAGATCGGTGTTCGGACCAAAGTGTTGTGATTGGAGTGGAACAAGGATCAGGTTGCGTCTTGGAGCGGACTAATTGCTGGAATACCGAGTTGGAATCGGGAGTTATTTACGCACAGGCAGCCTTGCTGTTTGGATTTCTGCGGGTTCGTTAACTTTTCTGTGTTTTTTTATTTATTTATTTTGGTGTCAAACCGAAGCGCGCCCCTCCTGCTACCAGAGGTCCCGCCGCGCAGCCTGGATGCGGAGCCGCTGTTTAGCGCGTTATCCGGATCAAACTTCAGCTGACCTGGATGGATGCGTGTCTGGGTGGGGTTGGAGGACCCCACTGCGTGCTGGTGTCGCCTCCCGGGATGCGGATCGATGCAGATGGGACGCGCTCAGCCGCAGCCGCGCACCGATGCTCCTCTGCCTCCCACCAAGGCCCCGACACCTCCCTCTCCAAAAACAACATGTCCTCCAGCGTTATAGACAACAGGATGATCGGCTCTCCCTGATGTGTGTTTGAATTTTTAATGTTTGCTGAATAATGCAGAGAAACTATAAAAGGAATGAAGTTGGCTGTTTTACTTAAGAGGTGTGGAGGAATCCTGAGGATGGATGGATGGATGGAGAAAGTTTCTCCCTCCCTCTGTTCTGCTGGATGGCTTCATGCCTGCAAGCAGCCAAGGCGTTGTTTGTGTGAGCTTTAGAAAGACAAACCGGTCCTCATCATCAGAGGCTGACGGCTCTGCTGAACAGGCTTCACATCTGAAAAGAAAAGGTCAGACTCGTTGCTTGTCTCTCTTTCTCCAACTACAACAGCCTCCCTCTTGTTCCCGTGGTACCCAGAGCAGAGGAGCTGGTCGGTCTGAACCAGAACTGGATTCTTCTTTTGCTGTGGTTTTGAAGTTGAGAGATAAAAGGGACAGAGTTGGAATCTGTGGCTGATCAAAGTCAAACAGGGAGCATAGGAGGTGCTGCATATTTAAACAGAGTCCTGTGCACGAGGATCCGTGCATGCGTGTTTCCAGAGCATCGTCGTGTTTGGAGCCGCGGACTCAGCTCGCTCCTTCCTGTCCCTGGGAGGGTTGACGTCACCGGTTTACCCCACAGCCCGGCGGAGATGACCGGTGACCCGAGCTGATTGCATTATTTGTGCTCCAGATGGGCCGCATCACTCTGGTGTGTCCTGCTCCTAATATCCTCTCCGCACCGGCATGTGGAGCTAATGAAATCCCTAATGATGGCAGCGGCTCGCGGCCTTGGAGCGTTGGGGTACCTGTGGATGGTTGTTGTGCGTCTGAAATCCGCCGTAGTGCATTAGTCCGTCTGTATAGTGTTATAAAATATACAAAATCTGTTTGTGCTGCAAGGATTTTCTTGTGCCAAGCATTTATCTGAAGTCTCTGCCGTCTGTGCCAGGCGGCGCGGCTTCCCTCTCCCTCGGTGCTGCGTGAATCTACTCCATCAGCAGAGGGAAAGTTTCTTCCCTGTTCGACGTGACGTTGCTTTTCATGTCTCCGGGCCTTTTGTGACCGTCGGAGCGGCAACTTCCTAACGGCTCCTTCCTAATGAGACAGATTCCCTTCAGAGGCGTCTGTTTACGGAGCAGTCACAACCGTAGCGGCTCAGAAACCCACAGGAAGCAGAAAGGACGGATCACCTTCGACGCTGTTCGAAGGCCAGCCCGAGTCTCAGATTGTATTTTTCATAGTTAGATGTGCCGGGGGATTTGAGAACTGGATTATAACCGGGGGAGCAGGAAAACCCTCCTGCTCTGCTTCCAGTGAGCTGAGAAGATAGATGCGGGTTGATCTTACAGCTTATACCTCACTTAACAATGGCTAATTATCTCTTCCTGCTTCGTGTAGGTGAACAGCAATTACGCAGAGATACACTCATAAATCTGTTTGCTAAGGCACCAGACGGAGACGCTGAGCGTGCACGAGCGGTGTGCACGCCGCTCTGGATAACGCTGATTTGCAGTGTGCCTGGAATCTGGTCACCAGAGTCCAGTTCTCTGCAGTATGTGCATATGAAATCACTTAGATTCCCGTCTTCGGGGTGGGAGACGGAGCAAATCTCTGCCAATGTTAATAATGCACGCTGCCAACACCCCCCCCCCCCCCCCTCCTCAAACCGTGGCTTGGCTCCACAGCTTTTCTAATTATGAAGTGGCTGAGAGATAGCTTCACAACTCTGACAGTGTGGTGGTGGAGCGGAGTGGATCCGGTGGAAGAGAATCGCCAACAAAAGCCCGAGACAGTTTCTAGAGACGCTTCTGCAACAACAACACCTCCTTAAGCGTAAAGATGAGCAGGTGAGCTAGCAAACACGAGCAAACAAATGCCGTGCAAAGGTGCTGGCTGCACCGCACGCCTCTCAGCACAATTTAACAAGATATATTAGTCACCCAGGAGGCAGTGGAAAGCCAGGCATCCAGAGCACGCTGCAGACTGCAGTCTGACAGCGCGAGATAGTGATTTACAACAAAGCCCCGTAGACCATGGCACAATTTCAGAGTTACGGAAATGACACTGGTAAAGCGGGGGCATGAAAGTCTATTCACCAGCCACGTCTCATTTCTTACATCATTTGACCTGGGGAGGGGAGGATGACAAATTCAGCATCTGCACAACTCTGCAAGTTCACTTCTTAGCTGTCGCTGAAATAGGAACAAAAAATAAATAAAAAACAGGTCCAAGGACACAAAAACGAAGCTCCCGTCTTAAAGTTGAGGTGTAATCGATTTCTCGACCCTGTTGGGGCACCGTTAAGTCCCAGAATTGGATTCGGAATTAAATCCCTATATCCAATATGAGGAGGGGTGGAAACAATAATCATCTAATAGTGGGAATCACAGGTCCAGATCACTATCAAAATCTCATCACCGCTTCCCCGGCTGCAGGCTGAGCTTGGTGACCAATTTCATGGTAATTTGTTCGTGCGTTTCCCGGACTCCATGCAGAGACACGGATTAGGCCGCAGAGGTGCAAATGCAACGTCTACAGGTAGAAATGTACATTCAGAGTGAACCGGGCCTTTTCTGCTCATACGCACTCATTTATTCTCTGCCATTAACTCAGAGCGGAGAGCTTTGTCCAGATTTCCTCCTCTAATCCCGAACAAACTCACATTTTTCCTAATCTGCTTCAGCGGATTGTTGGACAGGAGCTGAAAATCCCTCTCGGAGGTGTTTGTGTGTGTTTTGGGCGCTGGTACTTTCAGGTACCTGGTTGAGGAGGAAGAGTCTGACTGCAGACAGATCATGTCCACGGGTCCTGCCCCCCCCCCCCCCCCCCCCCCCAGTTGGATTCCTGTCTGAGCAAAGCCCAGAGGCTTAACTCTGGTTGCAGTAAGTGGACTGAGGAACGCTAAACACTGTCTGGGGGGAGGCTGCTGAACATGACAGTCGGTTAATAAGAGTATGGCGGAAGTCTAAAAGGAAGTGGGAAACGTGTGGGATGAAGGGGTGGGGGGGCACCGGCTGACTTTTAAGACTTCTGGGAGAGGAAAGAGGATTGGCGGGAAGTGAGTGTCGGGTTTGATGAGTGTTTGATGACGAAAGCGTGATGGAGGATCAGAAAATCCAGGAACAGGACAACAAAGAGAGAAAAGGCTTGGAGTTTAAAGACGGAGGCGAGAGAGGGTGATAACGATGCTCGCGTTGCTTCTGGAAGGCAGACGCCGTGAGAGCTGTCAGCTCCAGGCTGGGACTCTATAGGATGACGCGTTAACCCCTCTGTCTCCACCAGCACCACCAGTGTGTAGCTGCACGTCTGTTTGTGCACGCCGACGTGTGACTCTGCGTGTCAATTTCTCTTGGCAGCAGAGAAAGCGGAGTGATGTGGTTTTCCCCTCTAACAGCCTCCAGGAGTAATGATCCTGGTTATCGCAGATGACGTGAAACACCTCGACCCAGCGGGCATCGGCGCTGCAGAGAGCTGCCCTCGATGCTTCGGGGAGGCTGTTGTCTTGGTGGCAGCGCGGTGCGCACAATTCCTCTGTCACCTCCAGCCGGGCCCCTCCTTCTGTGGATAATGGCCTCCTGTCTACGTTGTGAATGATATCTGGACTCTATTGTGGGCCTCTTTCCCATTGTGCTGCAGAATGCCTTTGTCGCCTGTTTTTTCTTTTTTCTTTTTCAATTTTTCTCGGAGAGGTACAATGTGCAAGCCGTCTTCTGAGGTGCTTTAAATGCGCAGGCAAACCCATCAGCAAAGGTCCTATTTACTTTCGCTCCCCAGAGTGAAGAAAGAGCGGTTTGTGCCATTGTTCTGCTCCCTCTCACAACATTAGGACGGCTCATTGTGAGCCAGACGAATAGAAAGACCTCTGTGCGAGCTACCTGTCGAATCAAAGCCCGTGTGCTGCTGTGGGACCACCTATTCCCGAGGGAAGGACACGATGCAAGGTTTCTGCTGCAACATGGGACACGCAATAAAAATAATACAGCGCTGATGTTTCAGGCTGAATGATACCCAGAGCGTCTCTCAGCTCGCAACCTGTCCTCTTTGTAAAAAAGGTCACTCTCGAAGACCCCCAGCAGCTGAACACTGAGCTTTGACACGAGGAACTGACAAGCGGACGTGTGCAGGTCTCCAAGGCCTCCAATTACTGTTCGACGCGTCTGTCCGTCAAAAACAAATGGAGCAGGACCTGCCAGGAGACCTTGGAGGAGCGGCCCCGGAGTCCGCTCCGGCGCTTTCAGCACTCCGCTTTAATCGAGTTTGATCAAACGAAGGCAACGCCAAACTCCGGTTACTGTTCGCCCGAGGATAATGCGAGAGAGTTGAATCTATTGTTGGGGAAGATGCCTGGGGAATTTCTTTGAAATGGAAAAATTGCATTAAACATT